AACAACAACAACAACAACAACAACAACAACAACAACAACAACAACAACAACAACAACAACAACAACAACAGCAACAGGAACAGGAACAGCAACAAGAACAACAAAAATCTTCATCATCACTTGCTTCACAACAATCGCAGCAGATGTCGGAATGGCATTGATACGGTTTTCGTTTATAATGTGTTATCTTGATTATGAATTGTAAATAATCAATAAAACTATTATTCTTCATAATTGAAGTTAATGACTAGAAAGACGAGGTATTAGGAAGTATAGACTAAAGAATATTAGATGATCTCATTATAATCAACAGGAAGATGACATGTACTATTGATGTTAAATAAAGTGATACGTTTAATTTGTAAGCTATTTATTTTGTACGAATACGATCTGCTTATCTTAAGAATGCAACTACCAACAAGTACAATCAACTCTGTTTGTTATAGGAATCGCATCATAAATTCCGAATGATAGATAATCTGGTTTATTTGCATTTGCAGGCACTCTATGATTAACTATACCCGTAATAATATTCCGTACACCAGATAGTAATAGCTCATAACACATACTATCCTGCCTTCATGATTCACGTGTCCGTAGAGTTTAAGTTATTAAGAATAACGCCGGTGTTTAAAGACGGAATACTTGACAAGGCTAACTCGAGCAATCAACTGCAGGGATGAAAGAACGGGTTACGCTAAAAATGACGCGTTGTAGAAACAAAGAGTAAACCCAGAATATTAATATGCTTAGATGGTGCGCAACGCTTTTGGAAATTCATATAACTTCTCCGGTCTAACTTTAATTTGTAACAAATTTTGTCGATCATTGTAAGACTCAAATGCCAATGCTTATCACAATGTTCGTTATTATTATTATTATTATTACAGTATTTAATTTAATTTAAAATATTGATAAACTGCGTGGTACCAAATCTTTTCATAGATCACATCAAAGCTGATACGCAACATCAAATGGATCTCGCATCTCAGCTCCGCGGCTGTCTTTCGCTTGCCGTTCCGAAGAAAGGTCGTCTTCATGAACAATGCCTCTCGCTACTCAAAGGGGCGGACCTAGTCTTCCGCCGAAAAAATCGTCTTGACATTGCTATGGTTCAGAAGTTGCCTGTAGTCATTGTCTTTTTACCAGCCGCTGATATCGCAAAGTTTGTCGGTGATGGTAACGTAGACATGGGTATGACTGGCGAGGATATGATAGCTGAAGCGGGGGTAGACGGAAAAGTAATTAGGATAGCTGAGCTTGGTTTTGGGAAATGTAAATTACAAGTTCAAGTTCCTCAAGATGATGGCCCAAAGACGGTCGAAGAACTGGTAGGGGGAAGAATCGTCACCAGTTTTAAAACTCTGGCAGAAAAGTATTTCGCTGAGATTGACAAGAGGGTCTTGACGGAAGAGGAACTAAAGGAAGGAAAAGGAACGAAAATACAGTACGTTAGTGGAAGTGTGGAAGTGGCATGCGCTCTTGGACTTGCTGACGGCGTTGGTAAAGTTTTTATTTTTATTTTTTTTTTACAAGATACGTCTGTTTGAATTGAATTTAACATTTTCTTTTCGTTAAATAAAACAGTTGATCTTGTCGGTAAGAAAAGAATCAGCGTTTAATCTCATTTTCAAGCGTGTTCTCTGACTGATCTCGTTTCTCCTTATTATATAAGAATCCGGAGAGACGATGCGGGCGGCTGGCTTACACGCAATAAGCACAATCTTATCTACACAGGCTATTCTTATCGGAAATAAACATCCATCCAATCCAGAACTTGTTACTAAAATTAGCTCTCGAATATTAGGTGTAGTAGCCTCTCAGAAATACGTTTTATTGAACTATAATATAGAAAGAGTTCATTTAAAACAAGCGACTCTGATCACGCCTGGGAGACGAGCTCCTACAATAAGTCCGCTTGAGGAGGGTGATTGGGTGGAGGTACAGGCCATGGTTCTTAAGGATGAAGTGGCTCGTAAAATGGACGAATTACAAACTGTCGGTGCACATGACATCTTGGTATTTAACATTAGTAATTGTCGCGTATAGAAAACGACAATGTCTACATAAAAGATAGAGCAAAGGAACATGCTACTCAAAGGCGATGTTCCATAATGTCAACGAACAGATTATTGTGTTTAATAATATTCGCGATGTTGGGATTATGTAAATAATTCGATAGTCTTGGTAATAAACTCTGTTATAAAACCTGCTTTCGAAGAGCGTGATACTGTCTGTGTTCATTGTCAGCTCTGTATGTGATTAAGCAATAGCGTTAATTGCTCCAAACGTTATACGATGGATGATTTATTGTAAATACTTTGTAATCTCGTCTGCTGTCCTTTCTTTTGACAGCAGCGAGGAGTTTGTAAGTCTATTATTAATACTTCTGTTGGCTATTCGTACGTTCAAACACGTATTATGTCATCTCCTACATAGCCAGATCAAACGACGTATTATCAATTATGTCAAAAGTTATATATCAGAATTCTAATCATTTGGGGGAGGTCAATTTCTTGACCAAACACTTGTTGATTCCCCTTAAACGACACTTCTGTAGACGAGGATAAAATCACAGTTAGCTCTCATCCATATAAACAAGTCAACAATTTTTACAGAACACTTACGGTGGTAAAGTAAATTTCTTTCCGTGTAATACTCTTTGGAATTTAAAAAAGTTGATTAGATGAGTAGTCGTTAAATCAAAAATCAGGAAAAAAAAGAAGAATTACATACTTGTTGTAATAATGATAAAAGAAATCACTGTATAGTGCTGTCTGAACTATTCCAGCAATCCATACAGTGTAATCGACATAGCCTTCTTGAGTGTATCGCCAAACCCAATTTAATATATATAATCCTCGATATGCACCCAAGGCAAACAAATAATGTGTCGTAATAGTCTCTGCTTCTCCCGTACGGGTGAGCATGAATAGCTGTGGAAGTATAGCCACCGCTTCGAGATAAATAGAAAACGCCCAGATTATCTAATAAACGACAGAGTCACTAGTCAGAAGAGTAGGTCTCGGAAGAGATAACAGGCATGCATATTAATCAGGGTTGACATACGTTTAAAATGTTTACATCCCAGTTAAATATGAGGGCAATAAGACAACATGGTACCACTAGATATTCGACTTTGAACGTATCCAGATTCGGGTCATAGGTTGCTCTAAATTTGGCGTACATTAACCAGAGTATGTATAGAGACGATGATATAAAAAAGATTTTCATCAAAAAGTTATATAGTGAGATCCAAGTAGTGAAAAGATCAAGGTATCGCGCTATAAAGACTACAGCATAAAGAAGTTGCGTTTTGAACGAGATGCCTGAAATGAAAATAAGAATCGAGATGTTCCGTTAGCAACTACTGATCTGGCCAAGATCGCCGAAAAAAGCTGGTGGTTTCTAGAGCACGCTTGTTGAAGAGTCCTTAAAGGCAAGGAACAAAGAGCTCACCTGCGCATGATCTTGTTTTCTGAATTTTTAATAATAAAATAAATATTGATGCCAAATGCATCAAATCTGCAACGAGTCTAAAGATGTTCATTTTGTAAAGCTTTCAAGTTGCCAAGAGGATTTTCCAGTTCAGTATGGTTTTGTATAACCAATCATGTAGACCACGTTGTCAGATCTCACTTGACAGATGAACGTAATCCAATAAAATTGTCCGTTTTCAGCCTCAGTCTTGACAATGACGGCTGAATGACGAGCACAAGTCTGTGGGTGGCTGATGGCGTGTTAAAATACTAGCATACACCGTTACCACACAGTTTTGAACACGTTGTGATTTTTGTCAAAATGTTTTGTTCGTGAAACAATCGGACTCACTTTTCCCAAATAGCTATTACTATACTAATACTGAATGTCTCCCCAAATAAAAATATTTACACAAACTAATACGAAAAAAGAAATGCATAAGGGGGAAAATAAAACTGCCTTCGGACAATATTAATATTACGTACAGGGAAATTAAGATTTGATTATCAAGCGAAGAAGAATTTAAAGGTTGGTTAATTTACGAACATCTTCCAGACTGCAACGAAAGCAAGATTATAATTTTAATTGTGCTTTCGAAGCAGTTATAGATCTGGACAAATGTTGCACAAGAAATCAGCTCTATTGAAAGTTTCGCTCGCTTTAGCTAATTAATCCTTAGTATTAGACGATGATTCTGGATTATCACTGAAAGCGGCAAGTGTATAATACATAGTAGTAGAGTGTATCATTATAAAAGAGCAATCTACGTATTTCGACGCGTCTTTAAGAAATCCCTGTACTAGTTCTCAGCCGCTTCTAATAATTGTAGGCGATAAGTTTAATTAATTTACTAGATAATCGCAGTAATCATTACAAGGTAATAGTAATACAGTATTCCATTTTAATGAATAGCCGTAAAATAAATGTTCAGTACATACAATATAAAAATTATACATTCCAAGCAACACAAATTACAAATCAAACCCTTTAACGAAAAGGCTCGCAAATAACTTAAACAAATAAATAACAAGTTAACAACACCCAAGGTGATAAATGATTGCTCAAAATATTATCATCATCATTATTAATCTTTATATCAAAATCTTGCATAACTATTTCCACAATTACTGTCAGAATTATTTCTGGTCTACCTCGTATTAAATTCTGCACAGTGAATAAATTACAGATGCTTGCAATATTTTTCAAACACTCTAATTTCATCTTCCACGTCAATTGTTGAATCTGTTATTGCAAGTACAACACCGCGGTATTTGTAGATAACAATATGTATAAATATGTTGAGCAAAACGTATCGGTAATTACAAAACCATTTATACTGTTTATAGTATTACTCTCGACACAACGGCTGTAATTAGTAAACTTCGTGACATAGTTTCCTGTGATAATCAGAGCCATGGTAATGTTATATTGCACGGGTGCTTTTGTTATCAATATTTATTGGGATTACACGCGTAAGTCATTATTTTACCACCTGTGTTCTAAAATGTTACGCTAACACTATTTATATTGTTCTCCTTTACGGAAACAATCGTGATAACACGAAACTTGCGCCTATGATGTTATAATACAATATATCCTCATATTGACAATATCAAGTGGAATCAATATGTTATCTAACCCACAAACACGCGTCTACTCATACATGTATATTCCCAGACGGTTCTCTCCGTTGCACATTTATCGCCTCACAATAAATATCTCCTTCTCCAAAGCGCAAGTACAACGTTATCTAAAAGCTAAATGTACAACACGACAAATTTTTGCTGCTACTCTTATTATACACAGATGACGGTTTGCTACAACTCATCAGCAAATTTTTAAACAAGACACGGTTTATCGACCACATAGGTGACGAAACACTCTCAGACATTTCCTTTCTTTCTTTTCTTTCTACACAGCTTTCAGGTGATTGGGGTAAATATAAGTTAAGTGTCGCGTTGTTTTACGCTATAAACTAACTCTTTTTTTTTCTCTTTCTTCCTCGTTTTCTCTCCCCCTGATGGGTCTGCTGGTAATCAATTTCAATGGGATACTAACACTTGGTGGAAGTGGTTCGGTTCTAATCTTAATTGTATAGTATTTGATAACAGATATAACAATCAAAAAAGAAAGAAAAAAGAGAAGTTGAAAGTGTTATTACTTGACAAATATCATCTTATTGTAAGATAATAATGATCAAATAAATTAATTCTGATTAAATTTGCATTTTATTCGATTCTGGTTTTCAGCGAAAACAACTTGTTTGAATTGATATGGAAAATCCATCATGCTATCATTAATAACTCAACAGATTGAGATAAACATTCTTTTGGCTGTGTATTAAGGATACAGTTATTGACTTCAAATGAAACTGATTCATAACTTCTCGTAGAAAGGAGAATCTTCCTCTTCAACCAGGATGAAGCTTTGAAAAATGAAAGCAATTCCTTATATATAAAAATTGGTATATTTCCTGAAATTCCAAGACTCAAGTCATCAGAACCAGTAGTAGTAGCTGGTACCTGTACTGATTGCAATTTCCTCAATTCTCTCCCAAATAATTTTCTAGATCTGATAGACTTTCTCACAGTTTATAAAAAAAAGACCTCCAATATCAACGCCTTCTTTTACGTGTACACAGTGAAACCGGATATAACGAAGGAGACCGTGCAGACACTTTTCTTCGTTATATCGAGAGATTCGTTATATCCAGGAAATTTTACTAGACAAAATTCGAAACATAAAAAAAAAAGCATCGCATCGCTATATCCAGGTTTTCGTTATATCCAAACTTCGTTATATCCAGATTCACTGTGTAATTGAAATGAAGCGTACATTTATATTAAATGAAATTGCCGCGCTTCTCCTCCCTGGTTAAGAGAAAATCGAGGGGCGTAGTTCACAGTCAACTCTCTTTACAACGACCATCTTGGGCAAAGCAAAATCGGTCGTTATAAACAGCAGTCGCATAGTAGTCATATAGAGAGGATAATATGTTATATGACATTGAATAATAGCAACATGTGAATCACGATAGCAATTTGCTACTCTCTGTAATGAAACATTGACACTTTACTAACTGTTCTTAGCATATAACATTTTTTTCTCCTCTTCTGTATCAGAAAAATACACATTTTTTAATATGTATCTAACAGGACAATGAAAAGAGCTAAATATAAAGACGGATTTAGGTAAAGGATATTTTTTGAATTCACAGCTCTATTATCGAAATTAACCATCGATCACTATATGAAAAAGAGGTTTAATTATTGTAACTTACACAGAATGTTCAAAAAAAGAGGAATTTTCATATATTTTTACTAATTGATCGGCGCCAGAGCAGATAGACATGGAACACTCTTACGATAACGTTAAAAACATAATGTCATTATTCGATTAAATAATAAATTGGACAGCGAGCTGAAGTACTTTGTGTAATGTTATTTACAGATGTTCCTTCTATATTCCGAACATATATCGATAAATACTACAACCTCTGTAAATATGAATTCATTCTAATTTTATTCACAAAAGTCCGTTATATCTGTCCTTTAATGTCTATCTTGACAAACCGCTTCAAGCTCTCCGTTACTGGTTCAATTGCCGATTTTGTATTAAGATGTGCTCCATTTTCAACGAAACAGTCAATTTTGTGTTTTATGAGGAATTTCGTGCAATCTTCAACATCTGCAAAAGCTAGTTCTTTACTTATATAAGCCAGCTCTAGTGAAGGCCGAAAACTTTAAAAAGAAAGCGATTAAATTTTGATGAAACATTAAAAGTCCATTGCAATCCAATACGTTACAACAAAAATTGAGAAAATAAGAACAAAACGTACGCTTTAGTTAACGCCCTCAAAGCTTCAAGTCTCTCTCGCTCAATGAATGCATCGATCAAATATCCGCCCATATATGGTGCTTCCAAATAGAGACGAAAAAATTTATGATAGTTTGACGTTGCAAGCGCAGACCTAACTTCCAATGCGTGCTTGATCGACAAATCCTCTTTCATTGCCGGCGTTAATCCAGCAATCAATGATATTATATCTAAACAATGGACATCGTTTGGTAAGCGATATTCATAATCATAAAAGCGGAAATTGATCTACTAAACATGTTTGGTGTTACCTGATCGATTTTTAGTGTGCAGGAAGTATAGCAGTCGGTACGCCGTAAACTCCATCACGTGTCCTGGAATGCTCAATTTATAAAGCTCTTTTAACTGTGTTTGACATTGATTATACTCACCAAGATCACCCTGTAAAATCATGTTTTGTTAGACTACAGTGCGTCACGTCTGTTAAGCCTTCGATGGCAAATGAAGAAAATATATATATCAACCTTTTCCAATGCAATACGAGCATGTGTCTCGTACACCTTTACAGTAAACTCAGTTTGGATTCGCTGAACCTTTGCGAAAAAAGAAGTATCGTTTCATAGGGTGTTTGTGAAACGCTTAAACTGGGCAAATGAGATTATAAACACTTACCGTCAGGTCTTGCCGTAACGATTTAAACTGATCACATATATATGTGTAATTCTGTTCGTCTACCCATTTTTTCTTCAAAAAATCAAGCGTTTTCATAAGAACGGGCAAAGGCCTAACGGTTGACGGGTCCGGTGCCTATACAGTGATATTAACGAGTCAGTAAAAGCTTTGGCACAAATTTCCAACAAATTCCAATACACACCGAAGTTAATCGCAAATATGATTTTTCTAAATTTTGGCAAGTCCCAACAATCGTATTCTGGTCCGGGTTGAATTCCTCCTGTTTGTTAACAGAACAAACGAAAACAAATTAGTAAATTAAAAACAATAAGCTCAAGAAATATCGGTGAGATAATAAACCTGGTGTCTACCGTTGCGGGTGATTGATTGCGCAGACGAACATCAGCTTGAAATCTTCTGAGCCGTTTTTCTCTTTTGTCTTGTTCATCTAGACTATCACTACCCAATGACATCCGATCGATAGAAGCAACAGGCATCCTTAGACTATATTAGCTACGTGATATACTCGTCGAAACAATATTAACAATAACCAAAACAGAAGGGAGACATACTTTTTTCGCTTTGATTCTTTGTCAAAGCATGAACTGAATGAAATCAATTGATGAGGGGGGTAAGTGTGAAGTTATGAGAAAATCAAACCACCAGAGTGAATAATGTCGAGCCAAATACCTAGGTAAGGGCATCTTTACCCAATCGGTCGTCCAGAGCTCATTATTAGCTACTTTTGTGGCAATAATTTGTCTCAATTCATCTTCAACAGCATGCATATTGTTAGGCGCCACTGCAAAACTGCGTTCAACGTACTCTCTGATAGATGAAACATTAGACAATTAATCATCGAAATCAAATTTAACATCTGTAAAATATACTCACTTCAAAGGGTCCGGCCACCGATCCGGTGCTGTACTCTGTTGGTTTTTAAGATCTCTAATTGAGAGAAAACTTAGTAATAATTATTATACAACACGTCCAGTAAGGATGTGCACATACCGAGATGGTTGGATTTGTTGCTGCTGTTGTTGTAATTGCTGTGGCGATTGTTCCTGTTGTTCTTGTTGCTGTAGTAGTAGTAGTTGCTGCTTTCTTTGTTGTTTCTGTTGATGATCGAGCGTTGTGACCTGTTGTTGTTCATCTGAAATTGCCTGTTGAACGGAATGACTGCGAAAAGATAGAGAGAACTTCTGAGGAGTCTTTTTGTTAGAAACCCCTAATTTTATGGGGGCATACGCGGGTTCTAAAAGAAGTTATAAAGTCAGCCATAGTCGTTATCAAAAAGCGTTACTGCGAAAACTTGGATATCGACTGTACTTGAACTGTTAGCCGTTTCCGGTGTTGTACCAACATTGAGATTCGCAAACCCGGATGTAGTTGCCTGGACAACGTTGTCCGAGCCATTTTTCATCACATTGGCAGAAAATCCTCCACCAATTGTGTTTTGCGTTAACATCCCTGTGAAAGCGGAAGATTTGCTTCAACGAGCAAAATATGTAAATCTAATTATTAAACATTATAAGATCAGGCCTATGAGCTGTAATTAGTCCCAAAGGATACTCACGATTGTGCGGTAAGAGTCGCAGAACTAGGGGGAGGTCTTGAGGTAGGTGTAGGCGTCGGTGGAGTTGTGGGTTGAGCTACAACATTAGCGTACGTAGCTGTGTGGGAGTTAGGCTGGGAATAAGCTGAATAGGACGAAGAAGTATAATAATTGCTTGGGTCATACGGGGCAGAATAATTGGTTGTGTAATAACTTTGAGCTGGCTGAGAGGCCGACGTAGAATACCAGGAACCATTCGAAGGAAACCCTGGAGGGCTAGGCTGAAAAGCAGCGCTTGTCTGACTCCCAACTGGATTCGTTCCGGGTGGAAATGCGGCAACTGAAGATGTGGTTGTGGAAGCACCGGGGGCGGGAGGTTGTGAAGGGTAGGAAGTATAGTATGTTGGATACTGTGAGTATGGTACAGTAGAAGGTGCTTGTGAAGAATAAAATGTTGAGTAATCCGTCTGCGTCGTCGCGGGTGTAGTTCCTGGGGGAGCTAAGTACTGTTGGTTTTGATCGTACGGGTAAGACCTGGTTATGATCAGTGCAAAATTAGATTAACTTGTTAGAACCATTCAGACGATGTATGCCTATAGTGCCATTTAACTCGCAAATTACCAGGAGTGAGTATATTGAGAGTTCTCGCCCATGTTTCCTATGTGGTTGGTAACTTGTTCGGACAGACAGCCAATTGATTGTAAGTGACAGAAACTAAACTCATTGCAAGCGGCAGAGTGCAAAGTAGTATTTAGGCATGCAGAATTCAATGACGTAGCATAATTTTTTTTTATTAACATACTGTGCCACTTCATCCCACTATAGAACTAATAACGGTTCGAGTTGAAGCATTGATATATAATTTTCTCCTAATAGTATCGAAGGCTCTCGCTGCCTGTCTGTCTGTACGAGCCCCACTGTGATTCAAATCTTGTTTCAGTTGGCAATCCAGTGAAAACCAGCGTACTCTTTGATATCCCACGTTTAACCATCCGCTTGATAATAAGAGATATATCAAGCAGAAACTTGCTAGCGCTAATCAAGCCGGGCTTGAGAGGTTTGCATTATCTTGACTGAGCGACTAGCACCGTGGTTGTTAAGATTTCTTCGACTTCTGCAGAAGACAAAGACAATCTGTCATGCACCCCGACTGTCAAAGTTCTTTATCATGAAAGTAGCCGGCGGATTTCCCACGGATGATCTGAATGACTGCCCAAATACCTATCATCAACAAAAGCAGAATTAAATAATAATATTAATGTATTAATCAAAAATGCCTCCAAAATTAACCCCACATCAATTTTCGAGAGGTCTTGCTTATGTGAAGCAGGTTTGTATGTTTATACCGGCTGTAGCAAATAACGTGACTACTAATTGACAACTTCATACCTGCTCTCGATAAGGTACCCACTTTCCTTCAAGGATTAGTCGACGATGATGACGACGGAGCGGAAACGTCAGACAAGCTGCCAACTACGAGCGAAGACCTGATTGATAACGAAGATGACGAAATTCTTAAATTAAGTGGAGACGAGAAACCGCAAATCGTGGTACTTAACGAAAGGAAGCACATGACAGAAGAAGAAGTGCAAGAGTTCATAGGTACTCAGAAAAAAACTAAGCTAACAGGTAAAGAGAATTTAAATAGTGTTATATGCCATTATTATTATGTGAAATACATTGTGCTAAGATTTCAATAATAGATGACGAATCCAGTCAGAACGAAGACCATGGTTCGCAAGGCGGAAAAATAATATTTCGTAAGCCTGATATAAAGAAAATTAGTGCAAACAATAATAAACCAAAGGCTTTCTCTAAAGCTAAATCGGACACTTCCATAAAGGATCTTAATGAAGTAATTCATAGCCTTAAGCGGGAACGAGCGAGCAAAGACGAAACTGGTGCCGGCGAAAAATCAACGAAAAAAACAAAGAGGAAAAAGAAAATGAACAATCTCTTGAGTTTTGATAGTGATATCGTATAACACGCTAATATTTAATATACATCGAAATGCTTGCGTTATTTTGATTTCATCAATATGTTACTTGGAAATTTTCAGGCATGTATTATAGCAGTCTTTTTATTTCTTTTGTAATATAAGAATTTTTAGTTTCCTTGACGAACATATATGTGTAGTGTTCTTTGGGATATTGAAGAGCTCTGGTGTCATCTGAGACGCTCTAATAGCACCACGACCGTCAAAAATATTATGGGTTTATCAATTAACAAACTATTTAGTGATCTTGAACAATGTCCGCAGGATATATAGTGAACCTGGCTTATACTTACTCTTGAGAAAATATTGCCTGATATCTGGGTTATGCCCATCAATCTTAGCGTATGAGCATCCACTATGGAAAGAATTATAGCACAGTTAGAAGCATTCAACAAGGCCCCTTTGTGTTTTTAAAATCAATAAGACCCAAACTCTGCGGAAATATCTCAGATATGTCGAAATCCAATGTGTGGTACGTAATGATAGTTATTTAAGTCCCCTTCCAAACGATACCTCTCTGCTGTTTCTTTTATTGTAATATTTAATTGTCCTTTTAAAATATTCTAACAAGCGAAAGTTCATAAATTTCAATTATTCCCTTCATCCTGAGTGCTCACGCGGCTAAGGCTAAGGCTAGAGTGTGAACCGGAACCTTAGCTACAAATTCGAGGCTTGTTATCGAATTTTACGTGGTATAATTAGAAAACTTTCCCGACCGATAAGTTTTGGTAACTAATCATAATCGACGTACAACTCGAGGATAGATAATAGTCTACCAGAAGCGTATACAACCCTGCTAGAATAAGGTGTCTTCTCTAGTAATAAGATGCTTGAGAGTCTTGTCATTACAGACTTCACGACCAGTCGAAAACGCATTTCTTGATGCATCTTCGCCGTTGTTATTGTAAATTTTGTCTCTTTTTTTTTCTTGTTAAATTAACATTAGATGTACACCCTCTATCTTTATAGTGCATGACTTGTGTTTAGATAAGATAAGCGCGAATATGAATACACTCTGACTGAACATCGATGCATATCATTACATTGTTTGGTAGGTTGCAATTCACACCGTCCACACAGTACCAACATAATTAATCTTTTTCTACTCCTATACGAATATTGTCTACTCGACTTTGTCCTTTTTTCTGCAAGTTTAAGAATATCGTCAACTCTATTTGTGGATTTTCTTATACCTGAGGTTTCCCATTCAATATAATCTGTGGCTCCTCAACGCGACATAAGTTGATAAATTTCTCCGGATTAAAGTGTTAACATATAAGCGGCTTTGAGACTTCAACGGTGCATTCTCAAAAAGAGAATGGTTTACAATATACCATTCGGCTGCTCGGCCAAAAGGAACTGAAACAGTATTATCATTGTTGTAAATAATTTGATTTCGTAACAAGCAAATTAATCTTTAACCAACGAAAATCTCAGAGAAAAGACGCGGACGGAAACTGTGTTGTACGTATATTATATAATCACTAACTCATATTACGCGTCACTGCAAATAAATTGTATTACGCCTTAGTTACATATTCATCAACAATTAGCTGCTTTGCGCAGTTTTTATCTAAGACTCCATGAAGAAGTACAGTTTTTCACAAATTCTCTGGCATTTTGAAGGAAGAAGCGCGCTAGGATTAGGTCAAAAAGTTTTGGACAACCATACAGAACGTGAATACGGAAACGCAATTACAGGAAGCAGTGGTAAGCAATAATATTTGTGGTCCATGTTTTAGTTTATGCATTCAAGCCATGCATAAATGATAATTGCTTATTGCTGGCCTAATAGTGTAAACTGTGAACATAATACATATGCATGGGTTATAATAAATTTACAAGTAGTTGAGTTACCATTGATAAGTAAATTTGTGCCAGAGCCATGAAGACAAAGCCTCAAAAGCTCTGTGTTTTCTGTCGTGCTAATACCAGCCATTTTTGCTCACATAATTAATATAACGTGTTTACTTTGTCTGGTTTCGGCAATTGTATAACTGTAACTCACAGTAGAAAAGGTGTTTGCAGCATGCCCCATACCAACTATGGCGCACGTCGTTATATTGAGATCGTTTTATTATACTTGGTTATATATAACTCGCACAATATTATTATAATGTTGTATAGTAATATCATTATATCGAGCCCATTTTATAACAATACTATGATATGTTTCCGGGTCAACAGATTGTTTTATCTAAAAGAACTCTTAATTTCATACAAACGCGAAAAATAATTTGGTGTAGGGTTTGATTGTGATACCTTAATTATGCAGGAATGATCGACAAAATATTTTGGACCCTATTACTATCGCATTTTGCAAGTATACAAAACCATAATATGAAATTTATTAATATTAATACATACTAGTCACTTCACTAAACCTTTTTTTGACTTGCAATATCCATCCTGTTTCAAAAAAGACAATGTACAAGTTCTCAGTTACATACTGTTGGTACGTTCTAGCACTTGCGTTAAATTTATTTGTGGGAAAGAGCATCTTCATGTAAGAAATGCAGACCGCTCAGGAATTGCATACACAAACACTGAAAAACCACATGAAATCTGTATAGCAGAGGGTTCCAGGCCATATGTTGTTGGTGACACGAAAGAAATGTTAAAAACGCGAGCTGGAAAAGATATAATAATAATAAACTATACTGTTGTAATCGTGTATTAGTATGCTAGTTTTGTGCTACTTATGCTCAACTTCAAAGTGTGACGAATCTCGGGTCCCTGCGAAAAGGTGATACACTTTTCTCAGAACCACATGATCCTTTCGATAAAATTGGCGCTGTCTTGCTCTTTCTTTGATATTGGCGTCTTCCGCTCTTGTTGCAAAGAGTAAACGATGCCTAATAATTTCTCCTCACTTTTTAATGTTTTACGCAAATAACTTGGACTGTCCAGATCGATCAATGATCATCATTATAAGTGTTACAGTGGAGGGGTAAGTATTTCAAAGCCATATCTCTTTATTTATATTAGATCCATTTTTAACTTGCGAGCTTTTTGAATACCCGAATTATGGCAGTACTGCAACGGCGAATTTTACAATGCGTTTTGTTTATGTGTTTAGGGCTGTCTTATCTCATTGGGCAGGTTTTCCTGATACTCATGTTTATTCCGCCCTTTGCATTGCTTGGATGGATGTTCCTTCCTATTGTTGTAGCTAGTTTTGGTGGTAAGGACGCATCGTTTGACCAAGTCCTTCTATTTCTCTGAAAGACCAACGATTTGGTCAACAAACACGGATTGAGTTGGTTGTCAGTGGCGAGGTGGAACTATCATGAAAATATCATAACTAAGATCAAATTATGTATACTAGTTACGGCATACAGCCTTGCCTGGTTAATATATTTAACATGGGGTGAGTTTATATCTAATAATCTACTGT